GTTGGTGGTGCTCACCCACCCAAGGGTCCCACGGATGAAAGGCCTGTGTGATATAACCTTCCATTCCGACTCCAGCTTAGGAAACCCTATGGGGCAGGTCTGCTCTGTCACTTGGTGTCATTTTGAGTTAGAATTGGCCTTACAACCATGGGAGACACGTGCAGCACTGCTCCCCAGTCCCGGTAGGAGGAAGGCGATACAAGTTTTATGCATTTCAGGCAAACCCCGAGGAACTTGTAGGTCAGGGCCCCAGCACCACGCCCCGTCTAGCCTGGGAGACGCGGTAGGGACAAGGCGTACAGAGCTCTGGCAAAGGTTCTTTGGAAGGTCTCCTACTCCACTTCCCCTCCTGCACAACAGCGTGAAGAAATCTCCTCCTGAACTCATTCTATGTGTCTTTAGCACTGAGTGTGACTTGAGGGTCCTCCCCCACCCTGCCCAAACAGCAAATCCCCCAGCCCTTCAGAACCACCCAACTGTCCAAATGAGGGACAAAGAACTACTCTTTTCGCAGTACTCCCCACTGAGAGTGTTTGGTATGCTTTTGATCATCTGCTTTGAATAGTGTGAATGGAAAACAATAGGTAAAATATATGATAGACATTATCCAGTTCAACAAGCATTTATTGGAAAGGAGGGAGAGAAAGAGGGGGAGAGAGAGTGAGAGGGACTGACTCAGTTTCCACACTAGAAAGGGGGCGAATACTGGCCCCCTTGCAAGGCTGCTGTGAGAAACAGTAACATAGCCTTCACTCAGGGAAGGGGGAAAGGGGGCCCCAGCCGGCCGCTGAGGACAGCAGGGCTCAGTGTTTGTAAACTACCGGGGCAGCCAATGGATCATGAAATCAATTTTGTGGGCCGTGACTGTCAATTTTTCTGTTCCATAAACTAGACTAGAAAATATCAGTGCGCAGGGCAGAGGAAAGCAGCATGCTATCGGAAGGTTTTGTTTCTCTGCTTGTGTGGGCCTGATACAGAAACAGTGCTCACAACTTTCTAGTACCAGGTAGCGCAGTTGGCAGCTATGGAGGTGGGTGGGGCCTGGCCTCTCCTCAAATGTGATCTGAGTTCCGGTTCTGCTCTGCTTTCTGTGCCTCACTTTTCAAATGTCAAATGTGTATGATCAAACTGGTGTGAGGGTATAAAAAGAGAGAGACAGGAAGTAGCCAAACCGTGTGCGGGATTACTAACAGCTGTTAGGAATCATCATGAATACTCATGTGATTTGTCCGGACTGCATGGAGGGCAAGAGAAATGAGAGCTGCCATCGCTGTCCTCAAGGAGAGTCAAAAATAGAAATGAATGCGGCAGGGGACAAGAAAAAATGCCAGTGGCCTTCGTGTGGGGCTGCAAAGGGTTTGTGGGGCACAGAGCAGTAGCAGGGACATCTGGTGAGAGCCCTGGCAGGAGGGTTCTCCAGTGGGGTTTCCATACAACTCCCTGTGGCTCATTTTTTCTCCTCCTTCTTTAAATGTGTATCACAATTTGAAGTGTGTCACAAACAACAAATGTAAAAGCATCACAGAGAGCAAGGTCCTCCCAGAATGTGCTCTTGTTTTCATTTAAGTGACACTGCTCTGTCAGGAGCCAAAGGATCGGCCATTCCTCCCCCACCTGTGGCTTCAATCTCTACTAAGGATAATGGCTGTTGTTGGTGTTTGCAGCTGTCAAGTAGATTCTGGCTCACGGAGGCTGACCCTTAGAAAGCAGATCACAACTGAATCTGGACAGCTGTACCCACCAGCCTCTTGGCTATTAGTCCAGTGTTTGGAGTGTGGGCATCACTCAAATACAAGATGCCATATAGCCATCCTCTAAGAGAGAGAGTAAAGCAATCCCCTAGAGTTTTCAAGGGCATAACCTTGATGGGAGTACACTGACCCAGCTTTCTCCTGTGGAGCAGCTAGTGGGTCCCACCTACTGACCTGTTGGTTGAATCAGGTGCTTAACCACTGCGCCACCAGATTCCTCTAACAATAATAAGAGACATTATTTATTGGGCATCCTAAGAATCAGCCATCGGATATTTCCTCATCCAATTAAATCTTGACAGTCAATCTACAGGATAGTTCCTACTGTTCTCGGTTACTCAAGGAAGGGGAAGCTGGTGAGTTAAATGGCTTGGATGTAAAGGGTCAGAGTATACCTACTTAGCATTTCTCTCTCCCTAGTTGACATTTCTCTTTTAGCACAATAGTGAAAAAAATCTATTATCATACTATTTGCACATGAACCATGTACGTCGGGCAGGAATGAACCTGGAGGTGCGAGCATAATAGCACTGCCTGTGGTAGTTACGGTTAGATGGAGACTGGGCTGGGGCATACTTGGCAGTGGTTCAGCAGTTCATGGAATGATGTGGGGTATCTTCCATTTTCAAGTAACACACCTTTTTGTATAATGACCTATTCATTGGAACCTAACTGTGCCAATATGGGAGCCTTGTTGATACTCAAAATGTTTGAAGATTTTGCTTTTTTGGGGTGGGGTGGGGAGGGGGTTACAGACACACCAGAAGCGTTTCCTAGGCCATTTTCTGTGTTGCACACCCTCCCCAAACTATGTTTTCATTATCACCCTGCATTGCACCTGAGAAGCAGGCAATAAACACCCTGCGTTTACAATAGTTGGTGATCACTATCTACATGGATATAAAGCTTAGCACTGTTGGTAAGCGTATTTCCTCTGGAGGAAATGCAGGCAACACGCTCACAAGCAAGGTGGAAACTCATAGAACAGAACCAAAACCCAGTTATGTCAAGGTATATTTAGTCTTTGCTCAGATGTGCTGCCAAAACCTTGTGGGGAGAGCCAAGAATTGTCGCACGTTGTTTCTTCATTTAGAGTTCTTTTATGTGTACATGCATACAAACATTTCTTATTAAGCAGCATTAAAGAGAACGCAGGGCACGTTCCTCACGCCTTTCATCCACAAATATGAAAGTACTTTACAGACACACCCAGTACCTCTGCTAAGTAAATCTCATTAAAGCCATTTCAACCAGGGGTGCAACTGACGTATAGACAAGGTATGGACTGAACCCGTATTTCCACTCTAGTGAGGTAAGTCACGCTTCAAACAGCCACAGGGAGTCTTCAACAGGAATTGTCAGGTGCTAAAATGCCTGCCATTTTTCCGGAAAAGGAGAGCTTCAGTTCAAATTCCTGAATAATGTGAATATTGCACAGGGTAGTGGTTGGTGAGATCGCGGACCCTAGTCCTCCAAGTTCACCTTCCCTTCTATTTGTGCATCATACTCGACTGGCTCAATGAACAGACTTTGAAGAGTTCTCCAACTCCACATTCCCAGGAAGCATATTTGCACGGCTTTCTTTCTTGTGTTCCTCATCTGTTTGTGTGTGCGCGTGTACATTGTGTATAAGTAAGGCTTACATTATGAGCGGATACTGTGTATATGTGTATTGTGTGTACACATGTGCTGTGTGTATTCTGTATATATGGGTATGTATTCTGTGCACATGCATATTAGATCTGTGGATTCTGTGTACATGTGTATTGTGCATATGTGTATATTCTATATATATGTGTAGGGTACGTGTGCATCACATGTGTGCATTTGTTCTTTAGTTCTCCTTGATCACCAGTTGATTGCTGATGATACCCCAAATTCAAGACAGAGCAGCCAGTGTCATGGGTCAAACAAAGTCAAGGACAGGATGGAAGAGAAGAGACCCTGTTGGTTCCTGTCTGGGGGGCTTCCAAGCCTCTGCGTCTGCAAGCTGCAGTATCACACACATGGCGAGAGGCAATTCTCCCAGCAACTCTTGAGCTGGCACCATGACTATTTCCTAAGGGCACAAGAGGCAGGATTCCTGTTTCTAAGCTCATCCCTACTACTCTGCACAGTCTCCCTGATTAAAGTCATTTACTAATGGCTCGAGTTTAAAAGAGCCCTGCTAGTACAGCAGTCATATGATTCGCTGTTCACTGAAGGTTGTCAGTTTAAACTACCAGCCACTCGGTGATAGAACAGTGAGGCCAGCCTGCTTCTGTAAAAACGGCCGCCCTGGAAACCCTATGGAGCAGTTCTGTTCTATTGTTTAGAGTTGTCATAAGTTAGAATAGACTTGCTAACAATGAGTTTCTTGTGGCTTAGATTTGCCCAGTCTCCCCACAGCATCAGGAAACTGTAGTTCTACAGCCACATAGTTCCATAAAAAGCCCTCCAAGAGGGTGGTCTGCTTTGAAGATGGGAACTCTACTTCCTGAAGCAGAATTTCACGATTAAAGACCCCTAAGAGTCATGCTTCCCTACAGAAACCGGTTGGCATCCTGGGGTCAAAATTCAGTGGTGATCAGTGGATAAAAACTGGGGCTTCTGGCGAAGTTTGAGTCAGAAATCTGGGTATGTCATAAAATCTATTACACATGCAAAAGGAGCACTGCACTTGTGTTGGTGTTGGATAAGCATTGGACTGTTGACTACAAGGTCAGAGGTTCAAATCCATTAGCTCTGCCATGGGAGAAAGACGAGGCTGTTTGCTCCTGTAAAAATTAGCTCCTCAAATCCTAAATAGCATCACAATGAATTGGAATGCACTGGATGGCAGTCAGTACGTTTTTGGTTTTATATATATGTATCCGCAAAACAAAATGAACAGATAAAACCTGGGACCTGATAAAGATTCCTGTTAAAAAAGTCTATTTTTGAAAACATGCTAATTTGTGGAAGGGATTCAACACTTTGATCGAATTAAAAAAAAAAAAAGTGACAGAATGAGGAGCAATTAAACTTGGGTGCCCTTGAAAAGGAACTTGCCCGATGCTCTGGCTCACATACCTGAGGTATGATCGACATTTTCTTCCTTAAATCATGAAGTCCAATTTCAGTTGTCAAGATCTTATCAATCCAGATTTTCCCTTCAGGTTCTGACAATCTGAAAAGGGCTGAAATGAGGGAACTTTTCCCAGCTCCTGTTCTTCCCACAATGCCAACCTATAAAGAGACCCAGCAAGAGGGATTGAAAAAAAATAATTAAACGCCAGGCAACAAACCTAAAATAAAATAAAACTTAAAAGCTTTGGAAATGCAGTAATGAAGTTTTACAACGAATATATTCTTGTGGAGTTTCTCCACCTCTGTACAGTGGGCAGTTTGCAATTGCTACATCCTTGTTGTTTGAGGCTGTCCTGTGCACTACTGGGTGATTAGCAGCTGTGCCGACTCCTGTTCACTGGGACCTAATAGCAGTCTCCAGTTTGACCAACCAGAAATGCCTGCAGACATTGCCAAATACCCCTGTAGAGCACAATTGCCCCTGTCTGACTCTACTTGCTTCAGGAAAAGTGGAAACAAACAGAACCCGTCCATTGACAGTGAATGGCCACCCTTTCAAGGGACCCATGGGAGGTACTGAATGAAAGTCACAGGATTTATTCCCAGATTCAGGGACGTTATGATCCTTGTGTGTTCCCGGACAGGCTCACAGAGACAGTAACAATTCAGGTCAGAGATGCTGCATACAAATGCACATCTTCTTTGGCCCAGGTGCTAGCACTGAAGATGGTAGAGAAACGAAACCACATCTGGCTATGTTCAGTCTGGAAGAGAAACAGCTGACGTGCTTTAAATGCATGCCTGAGTATGTTAACAGACAGTGACCAGTAGCCAACACACATCATGAGACAAGCAACAACGGTACCGTTTGTGTTTGCAAGGGGCCTTAAAGCTGAACAGTTCAAAAGGCACTTTCCAAACCAATTAACACCCACCATTGCCCCTTGGGAAAGATACATGTCAAGTATCATTCCTCTTATTCAAACGAGATTGGAGAGGAATTGAGTGCCTGGACAATAAGATCAAGGAACAATATACTGCTGATAAAATGCTGGTCAGGCATGGAATGGTGTGCATCTCAACCTGTATGCACAACCCGGCCTTTTTTTAATGACAAGCTTGTCTCAGTGGTAAACTCTCATGGGTGGCAGCTGTCGTTGTTGAGGAAGCTGAATCGGAGGAGGGGGATAAGACACGCCTGCATCTGTCGAGGACGCAGACCCAGGACGTTTTACAACACACTGCTTTGAACAGAGTGAAGACGCTGCCCGGAGAAGAGGTTATATGCTGGGAACTTTACACAGCAGCTCACTTGAACATGTCCACATGCAAATGTTTTCAAACTGTAAAATCAATAATGGCACCTCAAAGGCAGGATTTTTCTTCCTCCTCACTTTAAAATGGATGAAAAGTGGCTTCGGCTAATGTTATAATCTTGCTCGCCATCTTCTACCTTCCAGCAAGAATTTATATCTTACAGGTGAGTTATTTTCTGCATACAAGTAGATCCTAACCTGCAGAGTCACGTGTTTCTGGGTTTCCCTCAGTGTTCTCACATGTCAACAAACACACACCCTCTCATGGGCAAATACCATGTTGGTGAGAATGTGCAGCTGTTTGCAAACTCCTGGTTCTGCAAGAAACAGACCTATCTGTGCCAAAGGAAAATGCCACAGAGGACTGGCCAACCATAGGACTGTGCCCCTCAGGGGCGGGGGGCACCAAGGGCCACTGAAGCCCCCAAGACCATGAGCTCTGACCTCATGGGAGGACAGGAAACTAGCAACTTGAAGAAGACTGCCCGTTTCTGCTGCTGAAAGGGCTTCCAAGCAGTCCATACAGTTTGACTTCCTGCCGAGAACTGGCCTTTCTTGCTGCTGAGCGGCTTGAGTCAGCGTATGTGGAGTGCAATGGCAGAGGACTGAACTGAAACACTTCAGTTTGAAACCCTGACTGGCCCACGTCTCCACTCCCCAGCAGGATGGAGGGACTGACTGTCTGTCACAGGGTCTCCGGGCTTTACCAAAGTCCATGGGCGACTCAGAGCGACCCTAATCACCATATTAGTGTTTTTTGGCTTAACACTGGAGAAGATGCTTTCAGGTAGTGTTACTTCAGGTGCGATGTTTAGGAATTGTTCTGTAGGTCCATACCGACCACACTTGCACCTGGGTGTCTCTCAAACATTAACCTTTGCACCTGGGTGTCTCACGCCCATATCAAACTCAAGTGATAATAATAACAATGTACAATCTGTGGAGGCTATGAAATGTCACGTGATGACAAACCTCATTCTGGATGTCCCTCAACTTCCAAAATGGATGAAAATGTCGACAAAAGCAGTGCACTTGTGCTCGAAGACCATTGAAGAGATGGGGAAGTTATCGAGACAATCTTGGATCTCAGTTCAGCAAATTGTAACAAAAGATTGGGAATGAGAAGGGTCGCTGTGAAATTTGTGCCTTGGCTTCTGACTGGCAAGGAAAAATAGTGTCCACTGGAAACATGCTGTGCTTTGAAAGAACAGCTCTAAGAGACCCAAATTTTTTCCCCAAGGTCATCACTGAGGAGGAGACACGGTGCTATTCGTATGACCCCAAAAGCAAACATCAATCAAGCTGTTGGAAGACACCATCGTCACCTCGCCCCCCAAAAGCCCACCAAGTGAATTCAAAGATCAAGACGATGCGCATTTGTTTATTTGATGTGAGGGGGATAGTGTATTTGGAGTTCATTCCACCAGGTCAGAATGTTAATCAAGTTTTCTATTTAGTGGTTCTGAAAAGATAGCGTAGAAGTGTATGACAAAAAAGGCCTGACTTGTGGCAGAGAGGGGACTGGTTCTGCCACCACGTCAGTGCACCTGCTCATGCAGCCCTCTCAGTGTGCCAGTTTTGGGCAAAAAACAGTATGCCTCTCTTGCCCCACAGAACTTACTCACCTGACCTCGCTCCTTGTGACTACATGAAAGGACAGCAATTTGATGGCATAGAAGAGGTGAAGAAAAAAATGAGGGAGGTGCTGTCAGCCATCCAACAAATGAGTTTCAAAAATGCTTCAAATGTCTTGAGTGTAATGGATAGTACTTTAAAGGTGATAAAGTTGCTTTGTTAAAAAATTTAAATACATAACTTTGGGGGGAAATTCTGCTTTTTTGTCAGGAGTACGCCCTTGTATAGTGTTCCTTGTACGGAGAAAACACAGTAAGCAATTACAGCTACATGAAATCATCTTAAATGTAATACAGTAATCTAATATTTTGATGCACATTTCAAAGCACCATCAGTTTGTGATTACAAACCCTGACTTGTATCTCAAAATTTTAATATAGTAGGCTTCACAGGAGTTGAGACCACTGACATATATGCTGTAGAAGGTTGCCGGAATGGACATTATATGGCTATATTCCAGAAATAGAATCTGAATTTAAACTCACACTGGTTCTCTGCACATTTGCACACCTGAGTATTATAAATCTGTTTCAATCAGCATTAACTTGATTCCAAAACGTAGAATTACATTTCCCGTTATGTCCTGCTAGGGATTACACAATCCCTTCTCCCTATCATAATCCACGTGCATTATGCTGTCAGATTAGCCCTATTGTGCTCTACTGGGACATCTCCTCCACAAACTCTCGCAACGCACGTTTCCGTCCTGTGTCGCTGCGTCGGTTTCCAGGTAACTATTAAGTTGTTTGAAGAGTTCAATGTGTCATATCTGGTGACTTACTCCCCAGTGCAGTGGTTGAACGATATGCCCACCCCTCAAAAAAACAAACAAACTAATTTGTGCCCATGTTGTAACACCTTGGACCTATAAATTTTGGCTTATTTGGGAAAAGGGTCTCTTTTATTACCCCCTTACTTTCAAGTAGGGATCTTGAGATGAGATCATACTAGATTATCAAGACAGACCGTCCATCCAATGTTGAGTCTATTTTTTTAAGAAACAGAGAGAAAGAGGGAAAAGCTGGGATGGCAATGGGAACACTGAGGCAGATAGTAGAACAATGCAACCACAAGCCAAGGAATGGTGGGACTCACTAGAAACTGGAAAGGCAAGGAAGGAGTCTCCCCAGGAGTCCTCGGAGGAAGAATGACCACACGAGCGCCTTGCTTTCCGGTTCCTGACCCACAGAACATGAAATAGCGGATTTCTGTTGATGTGAGGCCCTGCATCTGTGTTGCTTAGTGAAGCCAGACCCAGTTAACACTCATTATGTGGCCAGCACATATGCCACGTATCTCTCTCTTCCTCCAAATTAAACCATAATTTATCTCAAATGAAATCCTCCTCTGCTTTGTGCATCGCTGAATGCCTTCCATTTCCATTTCTACCTGCTGAAACCCTAACTATAGGTCACAGGGGTTGTTTCAAATTCTTGGGAAGTTCTCGTCCTGTGCCACCTGAAAAAGATGGCTTATCATCTATTTCCTACACATCTACACACCTTCCCGACCACACTTTGTCTTCTCGAATAGCGAGGTAGGCAATGTCTCCTTTCGTCCAGCAGAGTGGAGGTATAATTAGATTCAGCTGGGCATCACATGCATTGTACAGAGTTGAAGATTTTAACTCAGGCTTGAGAAATTTATAGGAAACTATTGCACGTTGTTGAGGGTAGGATAGGCGGGCCAGAAAAGGCAGACACGGCTGATACATTGTATAGCTATAAATAAAGAGGCAAATGGCCAATCTCTAATTTTCCCAGGACAGAAGACCATTACGGCAGTACAAATGGTGAAATTTTTATATCATCATAATGACAAACTTCTTTTATGAAGCATTTCCGCTGTGCTAGTCTCTGTGTTAGGTGTTTCTTCCATGTCTAATTGTGTTTAATTTAGTAACAACATTAGTGGTCAGGTCATATTATTATTCAATTTATAACACAGAAAATGTAGGCCTAGAAAATCCTGTCTGAGATGACAGAGTCCACAGAGGCAGAAAGGGACTTAGAGTGAGGTCTGTCCACCCCACTCTCATTCTATGTGGTAACAATATTGACAACAGGTTGGAAAATGTAATCCTTCTGTCTAGCTAGAAGGGAGAAAACAGTGAAGGGAGGCTGAGGTTAATGAGCTAGCCTCCTGCTAGATATTAAACACAAGCTATGGGATGCAAGTGAGTATAATGTGAGTTGGCAAGACATCTGG